CTTGGCCCCATCAGCTCCTATACACGATGGCGTAACTCCGACACAACCCTGACTTGGACCGTGTCTACTCGGACGACATGTGTCACCGTATAGGGGAGACAAAGAGGTAGACATTGCATAAAAGGCTACGCCCTGCTGCATCCGGGGCTCAGCCTTTTTTGGGGTCTTAGCCTGCTGAGCCGGTTCCAGCACGAATAAGGCTGCTTCCTGGAAAGAAGAGCCTTGGTGTCCCATCTCGGTATCGCTGTTCCCTTGTGTCTGTGGGACGAGCTGAGCTCGGGGACCTTCTTTTCTACCATCTTCCTCCCTTCGGTCACCAAGAATCGCTTTAAACCCTTGGGACCCGTCAGCGCAGACTGGGCATTCTGATTGTAAAAGCTTCCGGTCTCTAGTCACAAATCAGAGCAACTGTCTTGATGACTCTAGCTTGTATCCCATTTATTTCTGCAGATACATCCGTATCCCCCCTGAAATATTAAAAAGTCGCTTTCGGCCGATGAGCCTGTAGTTGTAACTAAATCCCTCTTTTCAACTAAGCAGAGTGTTTTCCTTACCTGCTATGAGAAGGGTTTTGGGGGGAATTTTTAAAATCCCAGTTAGGGAGGCTACAGTGTCCTACTGGTTTCACAAGTGACATTCATTCATTCGTAACTCGCAGTGCCCAACATAAAAAGTGCCCTCCTTACTACCCGTCACCCGCCTAGCCCATGTCATGTCCTCTGGGCTACAGTATTCTTAGTTAAAACTGTCCTCCCCACAATGGGGCGCCTGGGTGGCTCGGTCGGTTAAGCGGCCGATTTCGGCTCAGGTCATGATCTCACGGTCCGTGAGTTCGAGCCCCGCATCGGACTCTGTGCTGACGGCTCAGAGCCTGGAGCCTGTTTCCGATTCTGTGTCTCCCTCTCTTTGCCCCTCCCCCGTTCATGCTCTTTCTCTCTCTGTCTCAAAAATAAATAAACGTTAAAAAAAAAATAAAAAAAAAAAAAACAAAAAACTGTCCTCTCCACAAAACAAAGCAAAACAAAACACACCCGATCCGTATCATTTCTTCATATGAAGTTCAAAATGGGAAACATCGATCGATGATAATAAAATAATGATGACCCTTGGGGGAGAACGAACAGAAAAAGGTCACAAAGGATCCTCGTAGGAGCCGGTAACGTTCCGTCTCTTGATGTGGTTGGTGATGATATGAATGCCTATATATGTAGAATTGTTCCAATTGTACACTGAAGATTTATGTACTTTTTTAAATTTTTTTTTCCAACGTTTATTTATTTTTGGGACAGAGAGAGACAGAGCATGAACGGGGGAGGGGCAGAGAGAGAGGGAGACACAGAATCGGAAACAGGCTCCAGGCTCTGAGCCATCAGCCCAGAGCCCGACGCGGGGCTCGAACTCACGGACCGCGAGATCATGACCTGGGTGAAGTCGGACACTTAACCGACTGCGCCACCCAGGCACCCCAAGATTTATGTACTTTTACATAGCATCGTTAACATAAATTGGCCAACAGGCCGAAAACATTAAAATATTTTCTTACTAGTTGTGATATTTTGATTTAGCATGAGAACTACGTATTTGGTCTGTGTCCCTTTCTGGGTACAGAGCTCCTAAAAGCATTGGACTTGCCTCTGATAAGAGCACTTTGTTATGCTAATGAGGTGATTTGGGGGAAAGCCCCTAAAGAAGGGAGCTGATCGCCAGGGGGAAGCAACCAGGGGATGGGAGAGTTGAATCTTTCAATCTGACCCCCTGATCTCTTAGGAGAGGAGAAAGGCTGGAGATTGAAGTTCAGTGGCCAATGAGTGAATCATTCCTGCCTATGTAAAGAAGCCCCCGTAAAGACCCGAAAGGTGGGGTTCAGAGAGGTTTTGAACTGGTGAAAAGCTGGACCTTGAGGGAAAGTCGTGTGCTGGCCGGAGCGTCTCCTCCATCCGGCTGGTGCTGAGTCCTGTCCTTATTTAACACACTGCTCGTGTGGGAAGTAAGATGTCTGAGTTCTGGGAGCTGCACTGGCGAACTAATTGAATCTCCGAAGCGGGTCGTGGGAACCTCCAACGGCCGGCCGGTCGGGCAGAAGAGTTGGACTTGGGACAGGTGTCTGAAGGCGCAGGGCATCGTTTCGGGACTGAGCTCTTGATCTGTGGGACCCTCTGCCGTCTTTGGGTAGATAGTGTCCGAATTGCGCCTACTGGTCTTTCTCGAGGGTTGTCCCACTTAATCTTGTGTTTATTTACCTGTGCACGTTTGTTTTCAAATCAAGACTGACATCAAAACGTTTTCTTCAGCTTTGCGTTATAGGACACTAGTAAAATCCCTGATATGGTAATATGGTAGAAATTCTGAAGTAGGTGGGAATGGTGCGGAGAAAAAAAAAAAAAATTCTTTTTAAACAAAAAACCCCCCGCAACCAACCAAAAAACCACCCCCACACATTTTTTTTTTTTTTTTTTTTGCCATAAACTTGAACTCGGGGGTTTCTATAACCATGGAAGAGATAGAAAATGAATCCCGGGGCGCCTGGGTGGCGCAGTCGGTTAAGCGTCCGACTTCAGCCAGGTCACGATCTCGCGGTCCGCGAGTTCGAGCCCCGCGTCGGGCTCTGGGCTGATGGCTCAGAGCCTGGAGCCTGTTTCCGATTCTGTGTCTCCCTCTCTCTCTCTGCCCCTCCCCCGTTCATGCTCTGTCTCTCTCTGTCCCAAAAATAAATAAATGTTGAAAAAAAAAAAAAAAAAAAAGAAAATGAATCCGGTGGGACCGTTACAGGGCACTAGCCGACCACATGTTTGTGGAAATCGTCAAGACCCCTCCCGAGGATCCACAGTTCTGCCAGGTAACTTAAACATTGCTCCCACCATTGAGGTTCTGGAAAAAAAAGGCACAGGACACTCTCTGTGTCTGTGTTTTTCTCAGTAGGACGGTGACCCCGTACGAGGGTGACCGCACCTGAAAACGTTGCTGTTAGTTTAGTTCACGCGTGCCCCCTTCGTTGTCAGGGGACAGCATACCTCCTTGGTGGCTTAGTCCAGGGCTGCCCTGGGCCTGCCTTTCAGCCCGAGGGTCAAAGCCATCGCTTCCTTTCAACCCTTATCTGCAACCAGCTTGGTGATCCCAAGCTTCTGTGTCCCTTGTGATAGAGTCTCTCCGTGGTCTTGATGTTCCTTCATAAAATATGGTTATTGTCTGTTCCCTACCCCCACTCCCGGAAGCCGGCTACGCTCATTAACCCAAATATCCTTGACAATCTTTGACCCGAATCTTTATTAAGCATCTCTTGGTTGCCTGGCACTGTGCACAGGTGTATGTGTGTATAAAACACCTCTGGGGACCCTGGTTGAGTTTTTCTTTAGTCCTGGGTTGTTGCCTCTGCAGTATATAAATCAGGGCCTGAAATTAGACGGTAGAGAGATGTTGCTTAAATCTACCTAACCAAGAGAAGCTTGAAGGCCTAGCCCCACGGTAGCCCAAATGCTCAGTTACGTTTTCATGTAAGGGAGAGAAAATCTAGAATGTTCGCCCCTGGAGACCTTGTTCATTGCTTCAACGTAACGTGTTTATAGCAGTCCCAATAACTGATGATCAAAAACCAAGCTAGGATTCTGAAGGTAAAATTAAAAATGGTGTGTGTGTGTGTGTGTGTGTGTGTGTGTGTGTGTGTACATGAAACAAAAGGGAGAAAGAAGGAGTGCTCTGAATTTGACCCTTTCTTGTGCCAAAAGCAGCATAGAATTTGTCAGAGTTGAAAAAGAGACTTAATGGTTTAAAGGTACTTTGGGCCAAATATGTTCTGATGAGCCTGTGATTCAACCAAGTCGATGACTTATTTCCGATGAAGATACACTTAAAAGTCTCGCAGGGAGTAAGCCTCACTTGCACAGAAGCGGCAAAGTCAAATTATCGAGACAGTTGCTTCGTGCACACAGGATCTCTGGTATTTCACTAGATCGCAGGTATTTGAGATACGCGATGTATCAGGAGGATAAAATGCTGGTGCTCAGACTTTATAAATAGGCTAGCCTAGTCTAGTCATTTCTCATCCTTGGCTGGAAAGGAGAACTACCCTTGGAGTTTTGTTAAAATGCTGACTTCTGGGCCCCACCATTCATAAATTCTGGTTCACGCACACTAGGGTGTTCGTGGAGAACAGCACTGTGACTTCTATGACTGGGGAATAAATCAGAGTTGTCTACATTTGTTTAAAAAGCTAATAGGGGCGCCTGGGTGGCTCAGTCGGTTGAGCGTCCGACTTCGGCTCAGGTCACGATCTCACGGTTCGTGGGTTCGAGCCCCACGTCGGGCTCTGTGCTGACAGCTCAGGGCGTGGAGCCTGCTTCGGATTTT